TGAGAACAAGGAGATCCCAGCTGGAGAGGGTAAAATTGTTGACAACGGGGCGGAAAAGGCAGAAGTGCTAGTGACGGTTTCCGTGCTGGATTTGTAAAGGAACCAGGCTGACGTGCTCGTGTCACACGTGGAGGACGTGCGACGTGCTTTCCAATCCAGCAGTCACCGGGGAGCGTTAAACACCATCTGCCAGGGGCGAATGTTTTTCAAACAGCAGCCTGGAGAACTTGTACCCAAGAGTCTTAAAAGAGTTGACTGAGGAGATCTCTGAGGCTAATTTTGAATAAATCTTGGAATAGCAGGGAAATTCCAGACGCCCGGGTGAGGGCTGATGTAGGGCCAATATTCCAAAAGGGCAGGTGGGATTAGCTGGCTAGCTGTGGGCCTGTTAGCCCGACATCAGTCCCACGCAGTGGCATGGAAAGGCTGAGATGGGATCCGATTGCTAATGAAGGGTAGGAATAGAATTAATGCCAGCCAAGGTGGGTTTATGGGAAACAGGTCTTGTCCAACAGCCCTGATCCCATCTCTGATGGGATTCCAAGTTTGGTTGGTAAAGGTAACGGCAGAGATGTAGCGTAGTGAGACTTCGGGACGTGTTTGACTCAGCTCCACGCAAGGCGCCAGTTCACAGACCTAGCGCAGCCTCACGAGAGCCCTCGTTAAACGAGCTGCCTGGCAGAGCTCACCCGCAGTCGGCCCTGGCTGGGCGTGTTTCTGGCAGGATTCCTCAGGGCTCGGGAACACTGGCAGGAAATAGAAATTGCTGCTTTGCGCTCCGGGGAGCTAGCGAGACGGAGCCGGGAGGTGATTTTACCTCTGTCTCCGGCGTTGGCACCGCGGCCAGGTCTGGTGTCCGCCATTGCAAACGTGGAGGGGGCAGAGAAGAGCCGTGGAAACGATGGGAGGGCTGGAGACTGCGCCTGGCCTGCTCAGATTGCTACAGGGGAGACGGGGGGTGACTAGATCCCAGTGGGTAAGTGGGGGAGAAAATGCCAGGGCCGAAAGGAACTTCAGGGGCCCCTCCCCCAGCTGGGAGAACGGGCAGGCAGTTCGGAGCGATCGCACCCCGCTGGAAACGCCCTGCCCCCATGGGAACGGAGTCTCCGCTCCCGCCTCCTCCCGCTGTGCAGCACAGCTCTATGGGGGCCCTGGGGCAGGGCCTGGCGCAGATCCCCCCCCTCCCCCCCCGAGAGAGGGACGCCGCTAGAACTGCTCCTACCCGGTGCTGGGATCCGGATGAACTGGAGCCACTGGGAGAAGAGAAGGGACGTGTGTGTGGGCTCGGGCTGCCGTGGGTCCTGCGAGCTGGGCTGCCTGGAGCTGGGCTTCAGCCCCTGCCTTCTCTCTGGTTTTGTCTCGACAGTACCTGAGCGAGCAGCTCCAGGCGCACAGACAACCCGTCGTCTCCACCTGGTCCGTGGCCGACGTCCAGGCTGCCTTCAACACCATTGTCGCCCGCATCCAGAGATAGTGCGTGCAGCCAGGCGGGGCAGGGGGTGGGCGGAGACTGGCTCGGGGGCGAGGCCTGGCCCTGAGCAGCATGGGGGAGGAGACTGGCTCTGGCGGGTGGGGGAAGGGCCTGGCCCAGATGGCACTGGAGCAGGCTCAGGGACGTGCAGTGAGGGAGGGGTTTGAAGGAGAAGCCCATAGGTGCTGGGGGGTTGACTGTGCACCATGGCAGGATTGGGCCCTGAGTGCATGGACTGGGAGCAGGGACGTTGACACTGGACCCTAATGATGGCGGTGTCAGTCTCAACACTGAGAACTCCTGGCTGCTCCCCGTTAGCCCCTTCGCTGAGCCGCGAGGTGGGACACAGCAGACCTGCCCCTGGGGAGCCGTGCCCTTCGTCTGGGCTGCGTGGCCAGCCCGGGGCTTGTCTCCATGGTGGCATCTGTCCCGGCCCCTGCGTGGCTCTGGGTCTCTCAGGGCTTTCTCTTCCTTCTGCAGCTGTAACTGCAACTCTCACATGCCTCCCCCAGTCAAAGTGGCCGTGGCGGGGGACCAGAGCTATCTGAGCATCGTGCTGCGGTTCTTCGTGGAGCAGCTGGCCAGCAAGACCCCAGACTGGCTGAACTACCTCCGCTTCCTCGTGGTGCCACTGGGTAAGAGCCACCCGCTGGGAGCCCCGGTTCTGGGGCCCGCTGGGAAAGGGGCTGCAGGGCCCCCCAAAGGCAGCCCACATGGGGGAGAGGAGGCAGCAGCGGGGGCATCGGCAAGCTCCACTCCCGGGAGCAGCCAGCGTCTCTTCCGGCTGCGTCACTTCCTCCGTCTCCTTGGCAGGCTCACACCCGCTGGCCAAGTACCTGGCGTCTGTGGATGGGAGGTACAGTGCCCTCTTCCTGGACACGGCGTGGAGGGAGCTGTTCAGCCGGGCCGAGCCCCCCAGCGCAGGTGAGCAGCAGGGGTGCCCGGGCAGTGCCAGCTCTGGGCTGTGCGGGCAGCTGGCGGTGCGCTCACCTCTCCCCTTTGTTACCAGATTTGCCTGATACTTCGGGGTTCGCTCATTTATTAGGGTTCTGTAATTCTCTCAATGTGCTGCTTGTGTCACTGGGGTTCTCATACGGAGCTCTACTGCTCCCTCCCAATGGAGCTGTCCTGCAGGACCTCGGTTCCCCAGGGCTGGGTTCTTCCAGCTCCAGAATCAGACAAACACACACACGTTAACAGAGCGTGTCTGAGAGGACCGGGTT